GGTAATTTCAAAATCACACAAGGTCCCCAAATAATACTAATCCCGTGCGAATAGGGCTTTAAGACGAACCCCGGCTGGCCGGCCATGTCCCTTTCTCTGTGTCAGACTTAACTTTGTTTGTTGTCGTCTTCTAAATAATGCCGCGAGTGGGGCTTGAGGAAGTGACGTCGCCTGCGTCTGCGCAGTGCGCCCTGATGCCGCTGAAGCGAGACACAGGAAACAGAAATACTGCAAAATAATAATAATAACGCGACTAAACGAGACGAAATAACGTTATAACATTTCGTTTCGTCTCGTTTTGGTCAACGAAAATGAAGAGACATTTTAGCATAGTTTTTATTTTGTAAACCACATTTAGTCTCGTTTTTATTCATCAACGATATTGCATTATACATTTAATTATAGTCATCGTCACATGACCAGCATTTTCGTCTCGTCTCGTCTCGTTTTCGTCACGTGATAAAGGTTCGTTGACGACGATATTTAGTCATAATTTTCGTTGACGAAAGCAACACTACATGGTACCATATTGGTACCCAGCATTATTTTGGTATCATTAAGGTGATACATGATGATACATATGATTTTTTGTCGTGTTGACCTGTTGTCACTATATTTTGAATGACTGTAGATGTTATTTTTTGTGTGTGAATGTGCAGGCGAGTTGTGCAGATGATAAAGAGCAGTGGGTTCAGCTCCTGCAGGATGGGAGTTCTCCATATCAACACACCAGCCACGAGTCACTGAGGTACGCACACACACACACACACACACACTCACATTCACATGCTGTCTGTCTGCTGCCAGTATTCCATATGAACCGAGCATGAATCACTGAACTGCACACACACTCACAGAAATACTCACATTCTTTCCGCATCCTCTTTCCATTCTTCTGTTTCCTCTGTTTCTCAGTGGTCTGAAAAGCCGCAGGTGTCCCACCTCAAACATGTACATGGATGACCCCTTTCAGCAGCTGTGTGGTCCATCAGTCCACTTGCAGCCCATCTATTCAAACTCCTCTATACTGGAGCACATGGTACGGTCAAGCAGAATGAAGTGTATTTGACCTGTGTAACCAGTTGAAAACAATATTAATTCTTTGATTTAAGCAAGCTGTTTGGTTTTGTTTACAGTTTATTTAAGTTACATATCACTAGTTATTATTTACTTGTCAGGCTATTTTAAATCAACACAATAAATTTAGTTGTACACTGCCATTCAAACGTTTGGGGTCAGAAATTTTATTTGAAAGAAATTAATACTTTTATTCAGCAAGGATATGTTCATTTGATTATTTTGATTAAAAGTGACAGTAAAGATATGTATAATGTTACAAAAGATTTCAATTTCAGATTCAATTCCGATTCTTTTGAACTGAATGTTTCTATTCATTAATATCACAGTTTCCACAAAAAAATGTAGCAGCACAACTGTTTTCAGCATCAAATCAGCATATTATTATTATTATTTCCAAAGGATCATGTGACACTGAAGACTGGAGTAATGATGCTGAAAATTCAGCTTTGCATCACAGGAATACATTTAAAATATATTCAAATAGAAAACAGTATTACAGTTTTACTGTATTTTTCATCAGACAAATAAAGAATTTGTGAAGAGACTTCATTCAAAAACATTAAACCCAAACTTTGGAAATATAGTATATGTGGGAAACACAATTCGTGCCATGTTGGTGATCAGAATATTACTTTTTTAATTTATATTCAATATTTTCAATAGTTTCAACTTTTGTTATTGTTATTTATTTCATCATCATCATCATCATCAAACTTTATTAAGGACACACTCGGTCCAAACAAAGACACACCAATAACATACAAAAACACACACAAGGACAAAAACCACAATATCACATATTTACATGTGTACAAAAACGCCAATGATTCCACATATTTGAAAAAAGCCTGACTGAACTTAGTGCCAAGTTTGTCAGTGTTAAAATTATACTGTTTACAGATTCTGATAACCTACACATACATCTGTACATGAGATTACGCAACACAGCAGCGCAGGTTGGCACACCAGCACTGACAAACATTTGGCTTGCGCTGCTCCATCTTGGCACCTTAAGCAGCAATCGCATACCATCATTATAAGCTACATTAAGTCTCTGCATGCTGCTC